CCAGGGGGAGTGGCCTTGTGGAGGATGTTAAACAACTGCCTCCGGATCTCATTGCTGGTCTCCTGAGGAAGATGGTAAATCGCTGTCTCGGTACGACTGATGATTTCCTCGGTGGGGATCTTTTTAGAGGCAACAGCGAAGTTGTGTCCTTTCGCCAACACAGACACTTGTGCTTCACTGAGTTCAAATTTACTCAGATTCTTCACAGTGTGAGTGAGGGTTGGGACTTTCTCCTGGAGGATCAGCTTCTTGAACTTACCCTTCTGACTCTCCGTTCTCATCTCAGCGGTTCGGACTGCTTGTTCGTGTGTAACACGTTCGAGAGTCTCCCACAGCTGAGACTCCAACGTCTGAGCCAGAAGAAAGTGGAGATCGAGAAGCTGTCTGGAGAGACGGGCCAGATTCTTCTTAGCCGCCGTTATTCTCTCCTTGACCAATCCGTGACGTAAGAGCCATTTGGATCCAACATGCAATGTGATCCTGAAAATTCAAAGTCTGCCCTGAGAGAAAAATGAAAAAGTTCTCAAACAAGTCTTACTTATGCCAAGAAAATATTGTTTTGAAAATGATTAAAAAAGGATTTTTTTTATGCCAAATATGCAGAGAGTGCGCCGGGATGAAAAATTTTTGTCGCAAAAATAGATTTAGTATTTTAAAAAAAATTGCATTCTCTGTACACACAAGAAATTTCATTTCTAGCACTACTCCTTCGTTATTGGATACTCCCATACGTATTTTTCTCCAGAAAAATCTTTGTTTTATGCGAAACAAGGGACAGCAGTTTTTCGTTTCGGCTGTCTAATAATCACAGACAAGAAATTAACCTTTAAATAAAACAATAATAATGATATGATGGCAATCTTGTAACTGAGGGATAAAATATTTGTTGATGAATCTTCCTCTATATGAGATATTTTCATCCTGAAAAGGTACCGTCTGGTATGAATTATCCGCCTCTTTGGCCAAATATTTCATTGCTGTCGAAAGCAGAACAATTATTCATGTTTGAGACCTTCAAATTCGAACCAAACAAATTTTTTTTGGCAATTTTCAGCTAGCGATTTTGTTGGACCAAACAAGACTTATTTGGCAACGTGTTTGTTTTTCTCTCAGTGTACGTAAGAAATCGATATCTTCTCTCTCATTCGATATCGAGGGATGAGATTAATTAGAATCGGTAGGACATCCAATGCCTTCGCCCGACCGCATTGAATGGAGAAAACGATATGATTGCTCCAACAGGGAAAAACATTTGATTGGCTGTATTTTTTTATTTAACTCTTAAACAAAATGTTGGAGAGAAAAATGTTACTAGAGGTTTCGTCAACGAATGGGCCCCCTGAACTACCCTCACGTGGATGACATTTCATTTTGGGACACCCTGTATAGTCCTTTGATTTGATAAAATTTTCTGATCATACTCCTCGATTTTTTGCGACATAAATCTTATGTGACCGTCATATTTCATTTAAATGGGAGTAAAAATGTTACACTATTTGATATTTCATGATAACTCCTCAATTTTGTGATGTAGAATCTAGGTGACCGGCATATCCCATCTAACGTATCCCGGTCAAATTAGAGCACCTCTTGACGAGCATTCATTTGAAAAAAAAAAGTTGGAAAATGTTGCGTAGTTTTCGCAAAATTGTAAAAAACAAACATTTTCAAGAGAGTTATTTTCAAGGGCATTAGAGGCCATTTTTTTGTGTATAATAACATATAACAAAGTGAAGAAAGTCCGTGAGGTACACCTGGGGACAGGAGCACGTCTAAAAACGTGGGTCAAAAAAAAATTTATCTAAAAAACCTAGTTCACTTGAAAAGTGAACTTTTGGTTAATTCAACTTTTCTCAAATTGAACTTTCGTCAATGAAACCTTCCGGTTATCTTGTCTTTTATAAGAATATCAGTAAAATCTGCATTTATGTATGGGATTCTAGAGTTTTCTTATCTGTTTTATTTTGGTTCCTTGTGAAAAGAATAATCGATATTTCTCATTTATTTAATTGAAATGGTATATTCTGAGGAGAAGGAACTACCCTGAAGTATTTGAGAGGCATTGTTTCGAATGTTGTCCTTAAATGACGGATTATTTGTTAGATTTTGTAGTGTTGTGGATATGAACAGTTGTGTTATTTATTTCGTCATGGTTATGAATTTGTGTCAACTGACTTGTTATTGAGACTGAATGTTGTTTACTCTGGAAACGATGTTTGCAAATTTAATATTGTGCTTCGTGTTTTTTTTTCATTTTGTTATTTTCGTTCGTAGGTATTCATTGAAGTGTTATTTACGCTCTATTCTTGTGTTTTTTGCATTATCTTCCCGGATGTTTTAAAGTTTTTTTCAAGTTTTTCGATGTTAAAATTCTGCAAATTTTTTTTCCTCGAGTTTTTTTAATTACCAAGTTGTTTTAACAAATTTTTTTTGACGAACGTATTTTAAACATGGTCCCCTGGGGACCTTTTCTTGTAGGTAGCGGAAATAACGTGATACTACTCAAATTATGACAAAAAATGTAAAGTCACATGGCTGTCTAAGCCTGTCACGCATGCACCAAGATTTCCTAATAAGGCCATTCGTGCATACCATTCGTAAACCTTACTTAAAATTTCCGTAATTTCGAAATAATCATAGGAATATATGTATTTTCGTTACCACTAGAACAATCAAGGTCATCATGCGTACAAGAAATATCACAGTTTCGACCTTCTTTTTTAATCAATTTACTTCTCATCAATGGATAGAATACAAAAGTACGTTATCGTGTACAAAAATGAGACTGTCGTATAAACGTTGCAAAAATTTGGTTTACAATATCTGACGACCATGAACGGCTGGATTCATGGAGGTTTACATTTGGTAAATTTTCCTGTGTGAATAACATACAAGAATTACGATCTTTTTTTACTGCAGTAAGTTATTCCAGCAATTTTCTGTCAAAGAGATTTTCAAAAAGTTATGTAAGTATTAAAACTTTACTCCCTCATTACTTTGTATGAGCAAAGTACAGGATATAAAAGCACGCATTCATCGATATATTTCTATATTCCACAAATCAGAGAATTGGAAAAAAAAACAAAAAAATCCTTAAATTCAGTCTTCCTTTTGATGGATGGGAGAAAATGAAATCAAATGCCATAACTAATATCGAATATAAATCTCTATATATTTACAAGTTTCCATAAATGACGATATAAAATAGAATTTATTCGATTGTCAATACGAAATAAATTAATAAATAATAGTAAAGAAAAATCGAAATTGACTTGTGAAATGAAATGAGAACGCCAAAGCGCGTTACATTGTCATAGGCACTTTCTTTCTAAATATATTCTGCATATCCAGCATATGATTATGATTACCTATTCCTCTACGGATGGTTACGAATTTGAAAATCGTTCTTTCTTTTCACACAACGCAGGATACTTAATCTAATCTACACATATACAGGTATTTTGCTGCTCATGAAGAGCTTTCAGAGATTCCCCGTGTAGTCAGAACACAATTTCCACCAGCCAATCGAACAAAAATACTGAAAGAACTTCAACAGAAAGATAATTCAGGAGAATTGGTAGAACGAGATGAGTCATATCAGTTTCCAATTTAGTTCTTGGTGGAAATTTTTGTAGATCAAATGTAGATAAAGAAATTTTTGCAAGAAGCTATTCTGCAGCTGTCATTTTTTACTGCAAAGAATTTCTAGATATGAAAAAAATTAGTAGAGAATTCAATTATAGAAAATTCGAGAGCGTCTTTCAAACTCTTTCTGAATTAAAAAATGCAATTCAAATGATTCACTATAGTAAAAATTATGTGGTAGAAAAGACGTCGGAATTTGGTCGTAAACTATGGTAGAAAATCAATGTATAATAAGTCCTATTAGGTCGTGCAGAATTCGTCGAAATGTCCAGTTAAAACAAGTATATTTGGATGGTCGTATGAACCAAACGCAGAGTTTGATTTTTCTCTAAAACTCATCGTGGTCCGATTTTTTCTTTCGGAATTTATTTCCTTTACTTCGATGTTAGAGATGAATAAAAATAAGAAAATTTTCATTTGGAAAAATTCCAACAGAATAATTTATGTCAAAAACGACGTCTATCATTTTTTACTATCGAGAATTTGTCCCATCCAAATTTCAGCCAATAGAATTCCACCATTCGACGTCACGTAATACAACCTACAGGATTTTCAACTGACAATTTCCTCAATTCTGATTTTGACCAATCAGAGTGCAGTATTCGGAGTCACGTGACGTGTTTCACACTGATAATTTCTCCGGCTGCAGGGAAATTATCAGACTGATAATTTTCCTGTAGCCTGTCAATTGTTTTTTACGAATTTGACAGATATTCCTCACATTTTTGTGAAATGTGTCCCATAACCCCGAACACTGCACCCTGATCGGCCAAAATCAGAATTGAAGAAATTGTCCTCCGAAAACCCCTCGACCTTCAAAATTCATCGGATATTTCCCTCAAGTTTTCCTGCATATCAACGATCGGGATCAGTTTTGCAGTAAAATCCTTCGCGCTGCGCGCTCATGATTTTAATCTGCAAAACTGATCCCTCTCGTTGCTATGCAATAAAATATTCGGGAAATATCCGATAATTTTGAAGCTCTTGGGGTATTATAGCTAATGATTTCCTCAATTCTGATTCTGACCAATCAGAGTGCAGTATTCGGGGTCACGTGACGCATTTCACACTGATAATTTTTTGATAATTTTCTCTGGTAGTTGTTATATAAAAAAATTGAGTGAACAGTTCGTCGAAACTGACAGATCGATTTCATCTCATGGTGTAATTCTCTTGTCCAAAATTTGGATGGAAAAATTCTTTCCCGAATACCACTCGAGCTTCAAAATTAATCAGGTAGTTCTCCCAAGGTTCCCTGCGCAAAAAACGAAGTCTTCAAGTTTTTTAGTCTGAAAAACTTGACTCCTTCCTTTGTTTGCAACGAACTTATCGGGAAATACCTGATAACTTTGAAGATCTTGTGGTATTACATATGAATAATTTCTATAGAAAATTGTTTTCAAATTCCCCGTGGGATTCTCTAGAATTTTTTAGTAGATTTTGTCGCACGTATCCTTTGCAAACTTTACTACACCCCTTTGATCCTTATTTCCGGAAACCCGACTGTCAAGTAAAATCGAAATTTTGCATGGAACTTTCCTAATTTTGGATCTAAAAACTGAATGAAAAATATCAGATACATAATTTTTAATTTTTAGAAATAATCGAAATTCACGAAATTGTAGACCATAGAAAACGTCTACATTATGATTAGCTCTGACTTCTCGCCGTTTCCTCATTCTTCAAACGAAAAAATACGTATGTTGTATTTCTCATCCAATTTCCGTATTCCATTTTTTCTTAATTGAAAAATATAATAGAAAAGAATCACTAGATTTTGATTTTTCTATAACCCTCATCGTTTTTTCTATACCACTAAAAAATGGATGACAAATATCCGATACATATTTTTAAATTTTCATAAATCGTCGAAATTCAAGAAATGAAGACCATAGAAAACGTCTACATTATAATTAGCTCTGACTTCTCGACTTTCCCTTATTCTTCAAATGAAAAAAATACGTATGTAATACTTCCCATCAAATTTTCGTATTCCATTTTTTTTCATAAAAAAAAATTCATGTAACTCAATTTCCTCATCTCCCTCTACTACTTCTCTCCTGAACTTTTGTTGAATGATATAACATATGAAATTTAAAGTGCAGTTTCGAGAGTTGGAGCACTGGGGCTTCTCGCCACACCCTTGGTACTTCCTGATGGCTGCCTAGGTGATTCAGAACGTGCTCTGAATCCCGTATGATGTTCATCGCTACTTGTTGATGATGCTCCAGCTAAGAATTCAGCTCTTGCGCGTTGATTTTTCGCTCTACGTGATTCAGATTCTGCATATGAATCTGCACTTCTTGGGGAATTCATTCGATTATCATTACCAAAATTCCTGGTCGCTATTTCAGAATAACGAGTGATTGATACAGGATTGATTGGCCTTTGAATCGGAGATATTGGACACAAGTCCAATTGCCTCCTAGTTCTCAGTCTTCCATGAACATTGTGAACTTGATTCTCTGGCGATAATTCCATGGCTCGTTCCTCGGCAGCTGCGTCCTCGACAATCGTCGAGGAGAGAACATCACTTCGAGGAGTTTGGAATCGCCAGACTGACCTGGGGCTCAGAGCCCTTGCGAGGGATGGCTGGGGTGGAGGTGGCTGCTGACTACGAGGCTGGTACTGCTGTTGACACTGTTGACGGGACAGCTTTAACTGCTCCGCTGCTGAGAGCCGACTGGGACCCATCTTCGTACTTTGTTGGAGGAGAAGACGTTTGAAGTCCATCCTTGAAGTTGATGACTGGGGTGAAACCGTCGGCGGAACCTGACAGAAATAATTATGGGAGATTATTAAAACGTTGAGATAAAATCAAGACATCGTCTTGCCATTCTAGTTATTGCTGGTAAAATGCACTTATTCAGGTTTTGATTGCTTAATGTTCCTGTATTGTATGTCCCAAACTCATTAAATTTATTTTACTGGTGAATTGTTCATCATCATTGCAATTCAATCTTGGCAAGAGTATTGAATTGTCGACAATTCCATTTCCAAATTTTACATTGTGTAGATTATTTTTTCAGTGAGAAATTTAGAAGAACCCAAGGAGAAAAAGTTTCTAGTTCCATAAGTAAACATCTCTGAATAGGGCACTTGCATGGAGCTCAATTTTCTTTAATTTTCCTATTCACCCAGTCTATATAACCCATAGATAGCTAAACGAAAAGAATTATGAAGCAACGGTGCCTAGATATCTTCTTAGATATAATAAATCTATTCCCCATTCTTTGGCCGCGATTCACGGAAAAACGACTGAATATTCTTCAATGGTATTTTTACTATTACGTAGTTTAGGGTGAAGTTTTATCGCCTTAGGCCAGAGGTTATTGCCCTACGATGCATAGTTTAGTATGCGCTGTAGAAACTTTTAGAAAATTCTAGAGCTTTCTGGAAAATTTTGAAACTTTTTGGAAAATTCAAGAACATTCTCAAGTTTTCGAGAATATTTTTGAGATTTCCACAAAGTTTGAGGATGTTCTCGGGTTTTATAGAAAGTTTGAGAACATTTACAATTTGACAGAAAATTTGAGATATTTCTTTGGTTTCAGAGAGAATTCGAAAAAAACTCTTGACTTTTCTAGAAAATTTGAGCGAATTCTCGGGTTTCCAAAGAATTTTTTTTTGTTCCAATTAAGCAATTTAATTGGAAATTTTGGATGACTAGCTGCAAAGCCTAAGACCCGAGAAGTCAAAAAAATTAGGGGGTTTTCCAAAGAAATTGAGAAAATTCTAGGAGGTTCTAGAAAAGTCGAAAACATTGAGAAGTTTTTTTCTTAATTACAGAAATTCTCAAAAATCCTGGTATTCAATTTTCTGTTATTCTGCCCGGGCGAAATAAGTTTTCGAAATCCATTCTTTTAGTCATGACGTCACAAAGTGGTGTACGTCGACTGTGAGGAGAGAGAGGGGAATTACCGTCATCTATTGGATGAGGCGCACGGGAAGATTGGGTTAGGTTGGGTGGAGCCATTCTCTGATTGGTCCAGAGTTCGACCACCCTTGTGACGTCATTAGCGATTTCAAAGCGTTTGAAATCTTTAAATTTTCACAAACAGTTCTTAATTAACGAGCAATATTTTCATGTTTATAAACGAAAAATGAATCATTTAAGGTCGATGCTTGAGATTAAAATTTTTTTAAAAATTCATGCATGTTCCTTATTTCAGAACTAAATATAGGACGTAATTCATATTGAATAATTTCAGGATTTCTTAATTCAAGACCACAAAAATTCTTAATTGAAAAACCAGCTGGTTCTCAATTTACAAACTTTTTTTACTGGAAATTATTATGCTTTTGCTACTGAATTTCAGAGATTTCTCTTCAGACCAGTTTCTTTCCACGAGAACCATGAATTTTTTAAAAACAATAAATTAGTCCTGAAAACTGGAAACCTTTTTCTCTCTACATTACAAAAAAAAATTTCTTTACGTTAATTTTCATAATTTTTTCAAGTGTTCATTTTGAATACAACTTGATTTATTGATTTTTATCCATATGAAATTCCTCTGAAATTTTCATAATGATGTCATTCTTTATTCAATACAAAAATTTCCGCTCAATCGACAGAATGGAGTCGAGTCCATATTACGTTATTACTATTCTCATCATCCTTTGAACATTGATGCTTACCTCAGGAGCACTGGCAGACTCAGGACTCCAACTATGCCTCGTCCCAGTCTGACTGAATCGCCTATCCAAACTCTTTGTGCTATCACTCAAAGTCTCTCCATCATTCCTAATATTGAGCTTTCGTTTTGATTTATGAATGGCTGTAAACAATTCTTCATTCGACATAGTACTCCTGCTGGGTGATATTAACCCATTGGTCGGTGTTGTTCTGCCAGAAGACGATGCCACAGACGCAGAATCGCTGTAGGGCTCTTTGGTACTGAGTGTTGGTGTGGAATAGGCATATGGATTACCAGCAAGTGTTGATAATCTCTGCGCAACGGTGGGATTTGACTTTGCTGATGGTTTAGTCGGTACTGGCGATATGGTGGAGTGATTTAGATTATCGATCGTTGACCGATCATGGTGGTCAACTGGGGATGAGGCGAAGAATCGGTAGCCCCGAGCACTCAATCCCAGTGGTGCGAAGAACCTGAAGGAGAGAATTAATCAATAATTGATTCTACACTGTTAAAAATTTTCGTTTGAATTTTCCGTGGCAAATTCCGGAGTTTTCCGGATATTCCCGTTTTTCCTTTTTCTCGTCAAAAACCTTGCAATCACTCTAGCTTATACGAAAATCGAGATATTGACTTGAAATTTGGACAAAATCTTTCTCTCATGATAACAACAGTTCGTATTGTAGATGGGCTCAATCGCATCAGTAGCTTCAGAGATATTCGACTTTTTCTGAAAATCTTTTATATGTAATATCTTTAAAACTACGCAACCGATTTCACTTTTGTTTTCACTAAGAAAGACGCGCTCTTTGCGCGCGCTAGTTAGATTACATGGGATAATGCATTCATTCAGTAATATTTACAGAATTACAACTCGATGTTATTTCAATCATCTGTTTTTGCTTCCGAATGGAAGCATTGTAATCGTGCTGTTTTCACATTCCCTAATTTTGATTGGAAATGATGTAGAATGGCCTGAAACGTAAAAATACGAAGTTTGGCGACGATGTCTGTCGGTGTCAATGTCCACCGCCACCTTTCCGGTGGTCAATTTTTGGAAAATTGAGTAATTAATTGGCTAAACTTATTCCAAAAAATCTTAAATTTTGTCGGATTATAGATCTTAATAAGGATTAACTCTGTGCAAAAGTTCAGTCCGATTGATCAAATAGTTTTTGAAAAAAAGCTATTCGTTTTTAAATCGTTTTACGCTAATATCTTTGAAGCTAGTCAACCGATTTCAATTTTTTTTTCAAAATATTCGTTTCGATGCTTTCTATCCGAATCAATCAAAACATATATACCCGTTCATACAAAGTTTTCGAGATATTTCCGTTTTTCTGTTTTTTCATAAAAATCCTTGTAATCACTCTAGCTTCTACAAAAATTGAGATATCAACTTGCAATTTGGAGAGAATCTTCCTCTCATGATAACAATACTTCCTATTGAAAATGAGCTCAATCGCATTGGTAGTTTCCGAGATATTCGACTTTCTCTGAAACCCTTTTATTTGCAAGAACTTAAAAACTACGCAACCGATTTCAATTTTTTTTTTCAAAATATTTGTTTCGATGCCTTCTATCTGAGTGCCTTCTATCCCATTTGGAAGCTTACTACCAGTGGAATTGATAGAAATGAAAGAAAGAAAAAGAGTGATGACACCTAAAGTAACGGTCAGATGGCTTCGGCCAAAAAGGCTCGAACCCCTGCTTGTTTTTCTATTTGTACTACAACAGGTACTCCTTTAATTTCGAAAAATATTTTGCGTAATGTTTTTCTTGAAATCAATCAAAACATACGTACCCGTTTATACAAATTTATCGAGATATTCCCGTTGCGGCGACGGTGACCGAAGTAGTTAAATCGCTCGGCCGGACGGCGGGACCCGTGAAGCGCGGGTTCGAGTCCGGCCTGGGGCAATTAGGGTTTTTAATCTTTTGGAAACCATCGAACGGAAGTCTAGATACGGAGAATCATCGGAGAAGTGTTAGGAAAACATTGTTCGATGAAGCTCAAGATTTTCCATGGTTTCCATTGGTCAACAGGAGAGTCTGTACGTGGGGTACAGCTCTTGGGGTACAATGCGAGACGGTTGGAGAGGAAGTCGGTCCATGAAACCGCGTAAAAACTCGAATAGAGTATATATGGCAAGGAAAATAAATAAAAGATATTCCTGTTTTTCGGTTTTTTCATAAAAAAAAACTTTGTAATCACTCTAGCTTGTGCAGAAATCGAAAGATCAACTTGAAATTTGGACAGAAAATATGTATACCCGTTCATACGAAGTATTCAGAACATTGGAATTTTTATAGCACCATTTATAGGCGGCAGTAAACATCTGAAATTTTTGCCGCTAGTTAGTGTTGTAAAGCTATAAACTTTTGTAATATTTCAGACCATTCTAAAACCCGCTATCGATCTAATGATGACGAAAAAAATAAGACATCACTGAGTGACATGCCCACTGTCATTTAGCGCGCTGTCATATGCTCGCTGCCTCCTGTTTGTTCTTTCTTTCACATTTCTAAAGGAGAGTGGAGCAATATGGACACTTTATTTTTTTGGAAACGTTAATAATTAATTGAAAATTTGATGAAATGGGATAATTTTTTTTGTAAGTAAAATTCAGTAACAAAGCGGTAGACAGTTTGAGTCTATCTTAACTATCTTCCAGTTTTCAATGAATATCTCGGAATCTAAGGGAGATAGTAAAATTTGTGACAAGATCTTTTTTGTAGCACTCAATTCGCTCTACCAACAAATTTATTACTAAAATTTCATTATCTCCTTTACATTTGGAGATATTCCTTGAAAATCCAGCTAAAGGCTAAACCAACTTAAACCGTTTTATCGCTTCGCTACTGAATTGTTTCTCTTTGTGATGGACCCTGATTGAGCTGAATTTATTTTTGAGGTACGAACTTAGAAAAAAAAGCCAAGTGTCTATTGTGCCCCATCTGCCCTTAATGATTTCGTTGCGTAGCAATTTATTTAACAATTCTTATCGAGAGAAATATTTATTAAAATGGATGTTTTCGAAAAGAGAAAAAGAAATTTCAGAACGTCCGAGATTTTTGGTTAGACACAAACAAAATCATAAATTATAGTAGAAATACTTGAGGGAAACGTAAAATCTTCAAACCCTCAAGGAAGGCACGTACAGGCAAATGTTGGACAAAGACCTTTTTTTATATCGAGGTGAAATCCTGAAAAGAGAAATTCCCCATTTTTTGCGGTTTTGCCCGGACGCAGCCCTTTAGGTAGTCCGAGTGGTCAACCGTGTCCAACACGTCCTTAACGCGTACCGAAGCGCTTTCCCTTTGTTTACACGTACTTTTCCTTGTCACTTGACCAATTACAGTTTAAGAAGGCGTCAACCGTTTTTCCAACCAATGAGAAGGCAGAAAATAATATTGTCTTTAATGAAAACAAAAACTAAGAATTTTAGTGAAAACAAATGTGCCATCACGCACGAAAAAAATTAATAGAAAAACCTATCGGATTCGTTGGAAAATTCTATTGAATTTCTATTAAACTTTCTGGTAGTTTTTGGCGGATTCTATTGACATGTTCAATAGAAAACATTCAATAGAAAAAGTCAACAGAATTAGATTTTTCTATATAACTTATTCTTTTCATAAATTTTCTATAGAATTTGCTCGACTCAAATTTTTCTTCAAGTTTTTTTCATCCTATTTTTCTTTTCTTCTCATGAAGAAAATCAAACGAAAAATGTTGCGGTTAGGTTTATAGAGACACAATAATAACTCGTCGTTGTGGAATATAAAGGCGTTGTATTTATCGCAGAGAGATGTGTTTACATCGAATATATAAATCGGACTGAATTCAACTGAGATGACTGACTGACTGCCCCTTTGTCGGGGAGCGTGCGAGTTTTAATACCTTCTGTTATGGAAGGTTCGAGAACCGTCCAGAAATCTTGTGAGGGACAAGGACAGAATGATGCCTGAAACGAAATTTCGAAATGATAATTCGTTTGTGGCTCGCGCCACAAAAAACTTATAAAATTTGAGCCGAGGAAATTTTATAGAAAATATCTCAATAGAATAAGTTATATAGAAAAATTGAAATCTATCAACTTTTTCTACTGAATATTTTCTATTGCACATTTCAATAGAATCGGCCAAAAACTAATAGAACAGTTCAATCGGAATTCAATAGAATTATCTAACGAATTCGATAGGTTTTTCTATTAAATTTTTTCGTCCGTGATTGCACAGATCTTAATCAATGGATTAGCCGAATTAAAACAAAAAAGTGCATGTTTCGTTTTCTGTCATTAATTTCAGATGAATAGGGATCCTTCCTGACGTTTAACCTCAGGAAAATTCAATAGTTTTTTTTAAAGACAATTTGAAATAAAATTTTTTAGTGAACTGAATTTATTTTTAACTATCCTGATACATCAATGTTGATGTCTCCTCGGTCGTAAGTAAATTATTTCAATTTCATTTTTCTCCTGAATAGTTTTCCTTACACTGGACTTGAGACCAGCATAACTTTTTTGCTAATGAATTAGCAATTTAGATCTGAATGGTAAATTGAGAAAGAAGATATACCAGCCATGAAACCTTAATATGATCCCTAAATGTCCCAAATGTCTAACATGAGCTCCATATGCCCCGGTTAAACATCTGTCAAACGCCAACTAAATTAACATTAAACTGGTTTAAACTTCCACTGAACATTGATTAAACCTTGACGAAACCTTGGTTAAACCCTGATTAACCTCCGACTAAATCTCGACTAAAACCTGATTAATCTATGACTAAATCCCGATTAAACCCCGACTAAACCCTAAGCTCCGACTAAATCCCGACTAAACCATGATTAAACTCCGATTAAATGCTTTATACAGCTATAATTTCAAAGCAAATGATGCGACCGCTAGTATCTTCGAACTTGACTGAGATAACATCCAAACGAATATTTTAAGCCATAATTGAAAAGATTGCGAAGATTTTTTTTGAATGATCGTCGAAAAACTAAATTCAGAAAAAAGCTCACATACATACGGACATGATCTAAAAACAGCATATTCGAACTCCTGAGACCAAAGTAAGTCATCCTCACACAAAAAAAATGGAAATTTCAGATTTGACGAATACAATGCCTCCATTCGAAAGCAAAAATACGATGCGACAAGTTATTCCTGAAAATGTATTCATCTAGAAGAAATCTCTTGGGATTCTCTTCCATGACGAATTCACAATTTTTAAAAGTCCATTTCGCCTCATTACGATTCATCACTTCGCTTCTGAATATTCCATAACTTTATTTACCCAAAATAAATAATAAATTTGAAAGTGATATTTACCTATTTCGTGAGTCCACAGGAGCCGATATGATCTGTCCATTATGATGTAAATTTTTACGATCACAAACCACTGGGCTATTCTGATGTTTGCCAAGTCCCCTGGTGATGTCTGGCGTAACACATCGAATCGGATCTCTTATTTCCCTCTGGGGTTTCCGATTTGGCAGTGTGTAATATTGATTCGGTGTAAACACTGGTTTTCTACCAATAAAGTGTCTTGGATCGTGTGCTAGTCCCTGATGAGTAATATTACGGTGATGTGAGTGGTTCTGGCATTCCTGCGAATCTTTATCACTTGATTTATTGTTATCTTCTTGGCGTAGTCGCCAATCCTGAGGCTGAGGAGGTGATATATACGGCGGTGGAAATTGTAAACTAGCCTGTGACGATGCTGATTCCGACGAAAAGGCAAGCAACGCATTATCTGAAACAGACGAAACAATAATTTCTCCAACAAAAGCTAATGATCTTGTAATTATGATCCCCAACGAATTGTGAATGGTGCTATGATTTTATTTCAAAGCAAAAATACAATGGTAAAAGCAGACGTTTATTGTGCGATTTAAAGCTCATACTTGAGCAGATCCACGCCAAATCAGCAGGCAATTGATTTTTGTCTCATTTTTTTCTGAAAAGAGGGCGATTAAACAACATTTTTGAGAAAAAGAACATTCAAAAATATTGATAATTGAAGGAGTTATGATTTTTTGAAAATGGCTAGCTTTTGTATAACAAATTTTATTGTCCAAATTGGCCTCAATATTTTTTCGGGGGTTCAAGCTATCAAATCGCCCTTCGGCACACTCAAAAAACATGAAAAACCCTTCGAAATGAGACGTCATACATAGAATTATCTTCAGTTTGACGAGGTTTATACGCGAAAACGTTTTTTAAAATCTTTATTACATAATAATAATCCGATAAAATTTTTAGTCTTCAATTCTCAATTTCTGTCATTTATTCTATTGATTCTATCAAAAGACAAGGATTGAAATGGAAATTATGGGTATTCTTTTATTATTCGAAAAAAAATCCATGAAAAAAAATTTCAGGAACACATGGAGAAATTTTTATATGCCCCGAATGAGGTTTTGAATGACTTTTGTTTTGTGTTTGATTTGATCACAAAAAAAACTTTTTATTGATCTTTCACATAATTCCTCTTCATTCAATGTTGTAACATGTGAATTAAGTAAAAATAATATATATAATGAAAATAAGAATGGATAAAATTAAATTAATCTAACTGTGAAGACGGAAATGGAAAGAAAATCAAAGAAAATAGAATAGTATGAACTAATCTAATTATTAAAAAAGCTAATTTTTCTTTTAATCTGAAATTTTCACCCAAAATTGTCAATAAAATAAAAGGAATTTTGGCGCCAATTAGAGTTTGTCTTTAGCCGTAGTTTGGTGGTTATTTTTTCAGTGGAACAAGCAGGGTTGGGCGTGTAGATAACGTTGGTAAATTACACCGTTTTTTTCCGCCGTAATTTACGTAAATTACCTCGACGGGTTTTTTTACATCTCAAGCTCATCATCTATTGAGCTTTATTGGATTCTCCACTTAATTATTTGGAGCCCCGGAAAAGCCCAGTTGGACTTGGAAAGAACTATTTTGTTCTAAAGAGTTCAAAAAACCAACCAAAGACAATTAAATTTATTTTTGTCATTTAAGAATGCTGAATGAAACAAGTTAATGTCGAGACAAAAGATGATGACGCGACGAATTCAATAGAGATCAATAAAAAATGAGATTAATCCTTGTAAAATTCATGCCTTACACGGCATGACTCTTCCGAGGTGTGACCCTCGAAACGTATGATCCTGGCGAGGTATAATCTTCGCGAAGCTTCACGGTTTACGATAAAAGGTAACGTCGGCTATTTTTTTACATTTCTTACGTAAATTACGGAATTTTTAAAATGTCATGTAAAAAACTGCGGTTACCGGCAGATGCCCAACCCTGCTAATCGTCATCTTTTCAGAAAAAAATTAAGACGAAAATCCCCAGGATCAATTTTTTTGTCCTACTGATTTGACGTGTGTCTGTTCATTTTTAACTTCAAAATATGGTATAATGTACTCACCCAGTGCTGAGCCAAGACAAGATGTTGTTATTTATTGTGCATACCCGCATACAAATGCATTATATTAATGATTAATACACACATGTGCATTCTTTTAGATGAAGGATGCTAAACACAACTAAAACGAGCGCTCAACTATTTCCAAAAAAAAGAAACTAGTGCAATGTACTTGTTTTACTCGTATATACATACGCATAAGTTGTATTTACTATGTACATATACATTGATACACATATGTTACCAAAAAAGAATGTGCAGTGGTGCAATGGCGGATGAAATTCACAATGAAAATAAAAAGTGCAGATGAAAAATTTTCAATAAAAAATCTATTAACATACAAGTAAACAGTTATAATGAAAAGTAAAAAAAAAGGAAAATTTTAACACACAAAAATGTGAATGATAAAACAATTATGAAAATGTGGGAAAATACCGACTCTGTGATAAAGAATATCAAATAATTGTCGATTCATTCCAAGCAATAATAATTCAGCCTGTGATGTACCGGTATAACATAATTAACGTGCAGTTGCAAACATAAACAAATGTAGAAAAAAATTCATGAGTGCAGTTAATACTAGGAGTCATTCCTTTGTTTATCCTCTCTATCTCAAATTCGATCTTTCCCCACTGTTTCAGACAGTTACAGGCGTATACAGGAAATTAAAAATCATCGTGTATTGAAAAACATTTACAACAATAAAAAAATAATAACTACGTGATATGAAAGAAAACTGGGGAATGATAAATCATTTTGCAAATAAATTATACAACGCAAAAAACCATTTACAATTATACATAGAATTGTGAGCTTGCTACCCCCAGGCTGCAATATTGCGTCCAGTATTAGTCAGAAGCAATTTTGAATAATTTGTCCTGCATAATGATAAAATATTTTTATACACGTTAGTTGCTGTTAGTCAATAAAATAGACGCATACTCACAGCGTGAGGCTAGCAGGCTATTATTTCAATATTTATGGGATTCATTTGGCCGCGATCTTAATAACATGCGCATTAGGAAGCAACTGTCGAGCAGTGCTGAATAGGAAACTTGCATAAATTTTTTCAATTTTCTAATTTCAAGTTTGGGACCTGAATACTTCATTTTTCAACTGAATTATTTTTCCAACCGTCTGCATTAATTTCAAAATTTCTTCTGCAGGCCCCATTTTGCGGTTCTCGGCTATTTTAACGTCTTCAATGAATTAACACAAAAAATCAATTTATGATTGCCAACGTTTTGAGTGGTAAATCTCACTCCTCCTCAGGGCACTTACTTTATTTCCATCTGTTTGAAAAACCTAATTCACTCCAAAAATTTCCTTTAAAAGTGTGGACCACTGTGTGATTAAAAACAAAAAA